ACCAGTATTCTAATTTTTTTTGTTTTGTTTTTTTTTTTTGTTTTTTTTTTTTTTGTTTTTGATTTTTTTTTTTTGACTTTGCGCTCCGGGGCGACTTTTCGGTGTTTGATGGTGCCATTCGACTTACAGGTAAGGGAAACCCGGAAAACCTCACCCACCATCATACGACGTTGTGTGTTATTCTTCTCATCTCGAAATTCTTTTGTGTTGTGTACAGTTTCCAAATCTCTTAACAGTCAGGATTTATATAAGGAATTGTGTTTTTCATTTTTTTTGGGTTCACCCCCAAGACTAATATATTTTTCTAACTTCTTGTCGTAAATAATATTCGGCTGGATATCTCTTCTTGACAAACGGTACATCGTTTGTTATCTTAATTTCGTTTTTATAAACTTGAGTAGGTAAGTTTCTCTGGTTTATCGGAGAACACAAGTGGCTAAATTCTGATAAGTGCCCATAGAGACCCTTTCTCTGCAATTTATCTAAATTGCCCTTTTTTGTCTTTTAGGAAGTAAAATTGTTAAACACATGTCAAGTGGCTTTTGTGAATTTGTAAATTTCTTGTTATCTTTGACTTTCACAATGGAATATTCTTCAATAAAATTTGTATGTGAAGAGTTCTTGTGATTTATATGGTTATTGCCCTTTTTTGAAAAACAGGTGGTGTTATACTCTTCCTCTGTGACCATTATATCTTATATTATAGAGTCGGATTAGGATTGCCAGACACGTCGTAGATAACTTTGCTAACAAACAAATTTAACGATAATTGTTTGTTTCTTTTTTTCTTGGACAAATGTTTTCTTCATAAATAGGTTGGCTCATAACTATAAAGGCAGGTGGAATGAATCTTTGGATCTTCGATCGTTATTTTATTATACAGATCCTTGGAAAAACTTTAAATTTATTTTTCGGCGTCAATCATGACATATGTTCATAATATTTCCAAGTTTTATCGAAATCTCAGCGTGTTGCTTAAATGGTTTATGTGGTTTTGTTCTTTATCGCTTTTCTACTGGATATACGAGATAGTGGTTTGACGATTCTTATAAGCTAATTCTTTTTGGGCTTTGAAATGATTGGATTGTCTCTTATTTACTGCCATTGACATGTACTGCTTTAGCTTGTTGGAATTTTCTGAAGTACACATATTGGTCGATCACTTTTAGGTTCTGGACTGATGAGTGATCCCATGTTGGTACAATGTCGTAGCGAATAATGAAGCTTCATTTGTCTCATTAAATGTTTACTTAGTGCCAATACTTTCTGTATTTGGACGTGTACTAGTTGCTGGTCATCTAAGACTTATTTCATTTGGCTTGGGATTCACCCCTGGATTTCTTAATGTCTCCTATGGACTGGGTGGTTGTCCCTGTGTTAGGAATTAAAGTTGGTTCTATTTAGTAGCCTGCTATGTGGTCCTCTGTTGAATGGATAAAGAAGTCTTCTTTCATTCTGAATTGAAGTTCGTCCATGGCTGTCTTGATATCCACTAGAAGTTCTGCGAAAGTTGCTGTTGCAAGGGTTGAAGTTCCTGTAGCAAGGGTTGAAGTTCCTGTCGCAAGGGTTGAAGTTCCTGTCGCAAGGGATGAAGTTCCTGTCGCAAGGGTTGGAGTTCCCGTCGCAAGGGTTGAAGTTGGTTCCGACTGCTGTTGAGTCTAGTTGCCACTTCCAAATGTTAGGATCCCTCATTGATGATGGTTGATTCGTTTTTATGTAAAAGAGAAAACGGAAAGAGTATCAGTTCAAAAATATACCGTTGAATTTTATTTTTTTTAAATTAATTTGTTTAAATAGTTTTGTTTGTAGGTTTTATTTATCTTGCACCAATTTAAATGACTTTACATCCTGGTCACGGCACCAGTGTGACGGCCCGCCCCCAGGCCCCCTCTTCTTTTGATTTTGTTCTTGTGTTTTTACTTTGAATGTTATTTATTTATTTACCTCACAAGTTTTACTTTACTTTAAATTCTATACTTACTGTAATTTGGCCTTTTTCCTCTAGTAGTAGAAATGATCGTCTAGTTAATTAATTGATATTTTATATACCCACGTTGTGATAATGTTAATTAAGGTAAACCAGAATTCGATGCAAAGTTTGGTGCAAATTGATAAATAAAACATACAAATTCATATTTAAACTCTTATTTATTTTTCATACTTTAAATGTGATGCAATAATTAGCAAAGTATTTTACAATTGTTACTATTTACTGAGATCTCACTTGAGTCCCGTTCAAACGCAGACCATATTCATTTGCTATCAATATATATCCTATTTAGGTTGATGACCAACAGAGTTAACAAACAGCGTCAATTCGCCAGTTGATTACCTATAGTGTTGTTGTTTATATTCTGATTTAGGTTGATGACCCACGAAGTTAACGAACAGCGCCAATTCACCAGTTGATTAACTATTGAGTTGATGTTGATTTGATTCTATTGTAGATATATACAGGTTGCACCCTCTTAGGTAAATATTACGATGAGTATAGAGGTGTGACCAACGGAAGTAACAAACAGCGCCAATTCGCCAGTTGATTACCTTACTATGTTGATTTCACATATACTTTGTTTCAAACCTTGTAGAACGGGTTGCTTAGCGTATAGGTGTCCCCCCTTGAGTTAACGAACAGCGTATTCGCCAGTTGGTTAACTTACTATTAAATTTTACCATCTTGGTTTGTACAATTTATCCAAGATAGCACAACCCTGTATATTTCCAAAATATTGATCTTTATAATTTCTATTGATATGACTTAATACAACCCTGTATGTATTTTAATATTGATTATTATAATTTCTATTGAAATAACTTAATATAACCCTGTATATTTCTTAATATTGATTTTTATTATTTCTATTAAAATATTCCAAATTTCACCCATCCAAAACAGATGTTATCCTATGTTTCGGGGTGTATGACCTGAAGGCCATGTGGTTTATTGGTTAAATTGATAATATTTTACAGCAAATGTCAAGCCGCCCTTAAACGAAACCGGGGTGGTATCTCAAAGAAGGTTACTAAATCTTTTGACTCACCATTGAAAATACAGACATTAAATTATGTACTAATTTCATCTAGCGTCGTGGAAGGCGTCGATGTAGGTACGTCGCAGGGTTGGGCGTCGAGGCGTCCATCGTCGAGACGTCTAGCGTCGTGATGGAAGGGAAGGTATTTAATACGGTACTGTATTGGGACAGATATACGGTAGAATTAAGTAGGTGATGCGGGACGTGATATTATGAAGGAAATAATTATGGACGGCAAAGCGTCGGAAATAAGGCGTGGGACGTTGAGCGTCGAAATTAGTGTACGGTAGGAAATACTTAGATGGTGAGGAATGTGACAGCGTTCGAGACGTAGGGAGTAGGATGGCAGGAAGTTGAGCGTCGAGACGTTGACACCGTCGGGGATAGGAGGTATTGTAGGATAGACGTCGTTTAGGAGGAGCGTTTAGGAAAGGTACAGATTATATAACTGGGTACAGATAATAAAATGTATGCTTGCACATCAAATGATAAAAATTGAATGCCTCCGAGCTCATTTTCGTCAGACTTTTTATACACAGTTTAATCGTTTCTGTGACGTCTCTATCGTTTTGTTTCTCATAGAAAAAACGAATGTAGGTGCAAAAGGGGGTGGGTTATTTATTACTTGCCTTGAAAGTTTTGTGTATCGAAATATTGTCGATATCGGTCTGAACATCGAAACTAGGAAAATAAGCGACTTAAGTGTTTTAATGATAATTACTTCGTAAACAGAAATACACTTTATGGTGTTTTCTTTCTCGAGGAACTCAGCCACGTGCATCTTTTACGGACGTGGTTATAGATATTATTTATTAGGTGTCGTAAATAAGATTTAATTATCTGGGAGATTTTTTTCGTTAAATGAAGCATTTTGAATTTAAAAGAATGGAACATTGTATTTAATAAATGGAATTAATAAATTATTAAGGTACCTGGGTGCGGTAGATTACAACCTTTTTGTGTATTTTGTTATGCTCTTTTCGATGGCGAAGTTAGTTTTTTCAAATATATTTATTTTGTTAGATGTTTTCGGAAAACCCGGAAAAAATCACATGGGAAAAAAATTTAAAAAAAACTACGCCTCTGGTTTCCTGCGAATTCCCGAAAAATTATGTCAGATTTCGCCGCGGGACTTATTTTATTTGAGAGCCAACAAAAAAATACGCAACTTCTCTCATGGGCACATATGTCTAACATTTATAATTTCGCCACAAATTCATCGCAAATTTCATGTCCATGGTTCTGATCAAAAAAATGAAAAAAACGACTTTTTGGTAAAAGCACTTCTGGCGGCGAGAAATTCGCCATTAAAACTACCTGTGCAATGAATTTCCGAACTATTTTTGTCTCCTCTTTCGAATGGTGCATTTATTTTCACTATCGGAATGATACTTGCCCAGATAATTAGCATTTTTACAATGGAAATTTCCGGAAAACCCGGTTTTTCCTAATTTAAAAAAAATTGAAAAACTGCTACATCTTTTTTTTCTTTTTTTCGGAAAGATCACATCAAAATACACAAGGTCCTTTTTGTTTCATCCAATTACAAATTAATGTAAGCTCGAAGGGGCTTTTTTTTTCGTTATTTAATTGGACTATCAACGATTTTTTCTAATAATTGATTTGTATGTAGAGATAATATTGCTTTTCCAGCCATTATTGATCAAAACAGTACGAAACTTTTGAATTAGCGCTATTTCAACATGGCGGCTGCGCTTGCGCTCATCACATGATGAAAAGGCCTATATGCCTTCTAAAGAGAACCAAATATATACTTTTAAAATAATAGAGAAATATCTACACCAAAAATAGGAGGAAAACAAAAAGATAAATAGGAAGTTAATATAGCAGACATTCTCCGATTCTAAACAGAAAATAAAAATTGTGGTTTGAAATTTCAAAACTATAAAAGAATAATAAATGAAATTTCTTAGGTATGTGCATTTTTAAGGAAAATTTGTGACTTACCTTCTTTGCCTTTGGACTGGAACTAAAACGAATTCTTGCCCAGTTTCATCTTCAAAAACTTCAAAAGGCAGAGCTACAGATATTGCTACAAAAACAGCAAATACAATGAAACTTTTCATGTTTTACTTTTAATATATATCTTTTTTTATTACTATTGATGTATTATTTTTGTTTGACGCTAGAAGTGTACTGGTACTGATTCTTGCGAACCAAAATATTTATATTAATTCATGTTGTGTGTTCATTAAGTAATTTACATATAATTCTAAATTTAAAAAGTACCTACCGATAACGTGTGTTAGTTAAAGACATTGAAAAGAACATAATATAAACGAGATAAAATTAATCAAAGCAGTCTCTGATTAGTCTGGGCGGTCAGCTGTGGTGAATCCCATTCTAAATAAATGATGTAATTTATTTACTTCACAGAAACTGTTATTACTTATACTTATTAGTATTACAAGTAATATTATTTTATGTATTTTGATTATTTGATCGTTTAACAAATCAACGACAGAAATTTAGTTTTTAACACTTTTATCAATTATTCAATCTATAGTTGTTTGTTTTTAAATATTTGGTAAAGGAGGAATTTGAAGAAAAACTCATTTCAAACATAAAATTTTATTTTACGAAATATAAATTACGGTATTTTTAAATAGAATGCAATAAACAATAATTATAAAAAAAAAATGTTTATAGGTAGGTAGATGATAAGTTTATGATTTTTTTTGTTATATTTGTAAAAAAAATATAGGCAATACGTACGAACATAGTATGTGGTCAAGCTTCTGTTTACCAATCTGATATGTCACGAAATTGAATTACACTTACTTTAATACCTTAAAACCATGTTACTCGTTTCCGAAATAAGAGGTGTGAAAATTCGCAAAAAATTTAATGGCTATAATGGCTTGGTATAATTTTACCAAATTTGGCAAGGATAGCCAGCCTCTCAGCACGTCAGAGTCTTGCAGGCTGTTGTTCAGGAAGTCATAATTGGAAGATAGCTACAAGCTTGAATCTTTAGCGTAAATCTTTAGCGTTACCATAAGATTATAATAATAATAATAATAATAATAATAGGTTCTATCAATATTTCTATTATTTCATTTAATTACATTAAGGCTGTTTTCGCGATTCACTGTTTTAGCATTATCTATGTATCTTAGTTGTTTATCATCAGTATAATTTCAATTTTCGCTGAAGTATTCAAAAGTTACACCCTAATAATCTCTCATCTTTTAATTTTTTTGTTACAACCTAGTTTTTTAAATAAAAATTAAAAATGAATAGTAAATTTTATCAATTTGCAGATATCCATTTTTGGAAAACTTTAGTTTGTAGCTGATTTTTTTTCTATTTTTTTTTTTTTTTTATTTACAAGTTTTTGCTAAAATCAAAAACTAATTGAGTTTTGTAGTAAACCGTTTTCCAATAATATTTTTATTTCGACCAGGGTCTAACTCGCTCTTTTGATTGTAAAAATTTAGTATAACATATTTTTTATTATTTTTTACGTGTTGTGTATCTATCTGAATTAGGGCGTGGTTTAAAGCCCACTTGTACTGAAGCTCTAGGCTTATTGTACCCCTCACAGTTTCTATCCCATCAGATTGATTTTCTTAATGAATTCAAGAATATGTCTGATGGGCGCTTTCGCGATTTCTTCAGGTTCCGGTTATTGTACCCCGAAGTACCATTCCAGTTCTCATTTAAGGTTCCGACAGCGGCATAGTATTTGAATAGGAGTTTCGTCCTCCTCTTTACATATTCTACACAGGGAGTCATCAGATATCCCTAAGAGATTTAGGTGTCTTCTAGAGCCGCAGTGTCCCATAAGGAGTCCTATTACGGCCTTGGGTTTGCTTCTGCTAAGGTTTAGCAGTTGATGTTGTCTGCTCGTGGATGGCCCCTCTATGAATCTTTTGGACTGTCTAAGTCCAGGAAGTTCCAGCTAGAGCCTATGGTGTTCTCTATTTATTTGTTCCTTTAACACCCATTTAAAATGTTGGTATGAGATACCACATGTGGGTTCTGGTCCAATAAAAGTTTTTTCCGCTTCCTTCCTTGCTAGGAGGTCTGCTTTCTCGTTTCCAAACACTCCCTCATGTCCTGGCACCCATTCAAGGACGACCTTGTTATGTTCTGCCAGGGTCTGGAGGAACTGTTGGCAATCAAATATTGATTTAGATTGTACTTCTACCCTTTTCAGTGCTTTAAGGGCTGCCTAACTGTCTGTCATGATAAAGATCCTCTTATCTCTAAGAGAGTCATTTAGCATGACGTTGGCGCAGATATTTATTGCTGTTACTTCAGCCTGGAAGACTGTTGTCAGTGACCCCAGGTTCAAACTAATTGTCCTCCCTGAGTTCACATGGTAGATCCCAGCTCCTGTGCTGTTTTTCATTTTCGAACCGTCTGTATACCAGATTGATTTGTTTTGGTTTTACCTATTTTCCCGGCTTTTGGCCCTTTCTGGTATTTAAATATCAAAATATTTCCTGAACTCGTGAATAATGGGCATTCTATCCGATGGCATTCTTAGTACCGGATTTTGTTTTAATTTCTCTAATATTGTGTGGTGTCCTTTTCTCGAAAGTTCCCATCCAAATCCATTATTAAACAGCCTGTATGCCGCCGCCATAGCCTCCTTCTCCACCACAAGGTGTAGTGGAGGAAGATCTAGCAGTAACTCTATTACTGCTGTGGGCGTAGTTCTAAATGCCCCTGTTATTATTAGACAGGCTAGTCTTTCCACTTTGTCTAATTTTCTGTTTTTTTTATTTTTGTTTATCAATGGGATGGCATCAGACATGCTAATTTTCTGTTAGCTGTTATGCTTTTAGTCTTATACCACCATATAACAGGTACTACAACCATAGTGTAAAGCCAGTGCATCATACTTGGTTTAAGCCCCCATACGTTTCCTACCATTCGTCTGCAGGTTCATAGTATTCTTACAGCTTTTTCTGTTGTTTTTTCTATATGGCTACAGAAGCTAAGCTTGTCATCAAGAGTGATTCCAATATATTTAACCTCTTTTGCCATTTTTAGATGTTGTCCCCACGTATAAAGTTCCTTCATTCCTTGAAGGTTCCTTTTTTTTGTGAATGCAACAACAAAGGTTTTTCTCGGGTTTGTGGACAATCCCTCTTTTAGGCACCATCTTTTGACGATATTTAGTGCCCGCTGCATCCTTTCGGATACAGCAGACCCAAATTTACCGTTTACTACAATGCTTATATCTTCTGCAAATGCTTGCGGTGTCCACATAAGAGGAGATAACACTCCTCCTTGCGGGCATCCCTTGTTAACTGAGACCTCTCTTGTTGTGTTAAGGAGATTACTGGTAATGGTTCTATGATTATGCATGAACTCTACCCACCTCGTAATGCAGTGGGCTACTCCACGCCTGTGCATAGATCCCAGTATTGAATTGTATGAAGCCGAGTTCAAAGGGTCCTTCTATATCTAGGAAGACTCCTAGTGCTATTTCTTTGCTTTCCAATGCTTGTTCAACCTGTTGAGCTAACCTACATATGGCTGCATCGCAAGACTTTCTAGATTGGTAGGCAAACTGGTATCGATGTATCGGTTTATCCCATAGAACATCGTCCCGTATATATCTATCTATCAATTTTTCCAATGTTTTTAGGAGAAATGATGTTATGCTGATTGGTCTGAAAGATTTGGTCTCCTCGTAAAACGCTTTCGCGGGTTTGGGAATGAAGACCACTCTTGCACACCTCCAGCTTTGTGGAACATATTCGAGGGCTATGGTAGCTCGGAATAGTTTACACAGTGGTCCCTCCAGTACTTCCTGGCCCTTTTGTAGAAGTGCCGGGATTGTACCATCAGGTCCAGCCGTTTTGTATGGCTGAAAGGAATTTATCGCCCACACAAGTTTTGTTCTGTTTACTATTGAGTTTGCAAGAGACCAGTTTATTTTTGAGGCCCTACAAATTAGTGCATCAGTACTCCTGTTCTCTTGGTCAAGAATAATCTCACATCCAGGAAAGTGTGACTTTAGTAGTAAATCTAAGGTCTTCTCCTCTGTTTTTGTGAGTTCTCCTTGTTGATTTTTTAGAGATCCCATGAATCCTTGCTTATCTCTCTGTAGAGTTTACCTGAGTCTGGCACATTCTAGAAGGCTTTCAATGCCGTCACAGAATTTCTTCCAGGAATTTTCTTTTGCTTTCCTAATGACATAGCCATATTCTCTCCGGTACGCCTTATAGGCTTCCCAGTTCCCCGACCTTTTAGACAGGTTAAACGGTTTACGAACTTCTGCTCTTTGGGCTTTATTGATAGGTTTTTATTTACTGCGCATGACGATGACCGTAATATTACGGTTTGTGTGTGTGTTGGAACAAAGCTAATAACGAAAATCCATTTGCCACAGTGTACGTCTTAAGACTCGACGCGTTATTTTTGAAAAATCCGTATCCCTCTGTAAATCGGCACTGATTTTATTCACAGTGGGAATTTCATTAAAAAACAAAATTTTGGCGAATCATGTGTTTAACGTATTTATCTAAAATTATTTGTTGACGTTCCTGTTTTTCTTTGTTCGTATTCAATCCTGCTTTTTAATTTATTTCATACTATAATAATAATAATAATAATACTCTCCCTAATTCACCCCCTTACGAGTGAATTTTAACCCCAAAAGCTGAGCTTGTCCGGGGAAAGGGACGGCTATTATTATTATTTGCCGTGGCGCTCCGGGGCGACTTAAAGATGATTGATGGTGCCATTTGACTTACAGGTGAGGAAAACCCGGAAAACCTCACCCACCATCATCGAGACGGTAATGTATGGCGAATTTTTTTAATCTGCATGTCATATCAACAGAAATTGAATTTCTATTAATACGCCACACATCAAATCCTAAACCGAACCATTCAATTTAATTAAAAATCCACATGGTCTGGTCTGGGATTCGAAACCCAGCAGTCTCAGACTCATAAACTTGCCTATAAATGAATATAAGCGCGATAGACCGCTACACCACCGTGCCCGATACTGTCCGGTATATGCACAATTACGTTAATAATTTCAGTCCGGTAAATGTGCTATTACAGTATCAGGTCCGGTAAATGTTGCTAAGCAACAC